TATGAAGAGTTTTAAGTGACCAAGAGTCCTGTAAAATGGCACAGGAAAGTATTTGATGTGGGCCTTGACTCTGATTCTTTTCTTGCAGGTATTGAATAAAATATGCTGTTATCAATAGGAATGCTGATGTTGTCTGCCACTCAGATATACACTATTGTGACTGTGCAGTTGTTTGCCTTCCTGAATCTTTTACCTGTGGAGGCAGATATTTTAGCAGTAAGTATAATAATACTTTTCTACATGGATGAAATATCTATGATATTGAATTATCTCTTCAACTGTTCCATTAATGAATCAGTTGATACTATTCTGTAAAAACTTTTTGAAGAAAAAATACACAGAAACAATGCAGAAGGATAATCGCTTTATCATGGCACTGATGTGATAATTTTATTGTGAAATTTTAAACTTTTTACTGTAAGCACAATTTCCCTTTCCCCTCTTTTCTCTGTCACCAAGTCTGAACTTCCTCTTTTTATAAAAACCTAACTCATTCTTGCTTCTTCCTCTCTTAGAAAAATTACTTAAAAGAAAAACAACTCACCCCAACCTCAAAAAAGAAAAACAGAGCACTTTGGAAATAATAGTTGGGGTTCTTTTCCTATTTAAGCTTTGTGTGTAGTATTCTAAAACAATACTGTATAAAAATGAAGTGTGTTTTATTCTTAGATATTTGGAAGTTGCAGATTTATTCTGAGAATATCTTGAAGTAAGAAACTAAGAGATGAACTAGATATTAAACTGCTGTACAAAGGAGCCAGTGGAATGCTTAAAAGATGCTCAGAAGAGGGAATGTTTGCATTGTGTCACATGGAATTGCTGGTGCACAGATCACTTACAGTCTTGAGAGATTTCACCATTTAATGATTAACCATTTGTTAGCAAAACTCTGGCCAAAGTTTTGGGTTCTTACCAAGGAAAGAAGTTCTTCTTTTCCCTTTACATTTAGGAGTGATCTTATGCTTCTATGTTCTCATGTAGTTGCAGCCTCAAAGGATCATGTGTATTTAAAGTGCTGTTATGTGAGACAGGATGGGTTATTTTTTTAAAAAGGGGTAAAAAGAAATAGGCTTGTGTCAAACTCCTGGCTTAAGCTGGGGCTTGTCAAGAGATTCAAGGGCAAACTGGCAGTAGCCTGAGCTCAGGACATTCTGAAGAGGGTGAATGGAAGATGGTGCACTGGTGCTCTCTGATGGAAGGTCAGGAGGAGAGATTGTGTGGGGCACATTGGTTACATAGAATAAAGAAACTTCTTTGAAATTTGGCTCCATTCCTACCTCTTTCCCCTCAAAGTCTGTGGGAAGAAAGCTCTTTCCAAACATTGCTCCTTTGGAAGACTTCAGCTAAATCACGGCAGTGTTTTTCTCTGAACTGCAGTTTGAACTCCCCTGTCCAAGCCTGGCTGGTTGGAAACATCCCTCTGAAACAAACAGGATCCTTACTTGGCTGTTCTGTGTGACAGTTGGATGATACGATGAATAGACAAACATTTCTGACTCACCAAGCTGTTTAATAAAACAACTGATGCATGTTCAAGTCTGTTAACTGTAGACTTCACCACTTTTGCAGGAAACCTTTTTTTTTAAATTAAAAAATATGCCATAAATACACAGTATTTTTTTCTGTTTGAATTCTGTGTTGGTTTGGCATGTTATACAGCCAGAGAAGATGAACTAAGAAAGGAGAAACAAAGCTTGCACGTATTTAGGGCCTTTTACAGTATTCCTCTATCTTAAAATTAAAACTCATAGTTATTATAAAACAAAACTAGAGATACTTCATCAGCGACTATTCTGAATGTATGGTAGGGAATTGGGAAGGAATGGCATATGGAGGCTACAGTAAAGCAACTCTTAAAAGTTTGCTTTCCCTGTACACAGATGAATTCAGAGCAAAACTACCATCCATCCACTACCATCCAAAGAAAACTCCACATCCAAGTGTCCCCACTCTTTAGATTTTTGCTTGCTTGGTTTGTTTGTAGTTTCTGCTGTGCACATATGATAGTATTTGAATTTTATACAGTAGAAATAAAGATTTGCCATGTAAATAGTTCAACAAAATTTCTATTACTTACTTTCTTGTTTTGACAGCTAGATAAGAAAAGAATGATTTTAACATGTGAGTAGAAGACAGGTGGAATCAGCAGTTTTGTGATTTCATTGACATGGTCACAAGATGTCCTATGTCTGATAAATACTTTAATCTAAAAAAATACACAGTGATATTTGGTTTTGTTTATACTTGTTAACTATTTGTCTTGTTGCAAACCTAATTTTTAAAAAAAAATTATTTCTCTTAGTATAACCTTGAAAATGGAACCCAGACATTTGATGATCTACCTGCTAGATTTGGCTACAGACTGCCAGCAGAAGGCTTGAAGGTAAAAAACCCATATGTGTGTGTATATATATATATATATATATATATATAGTGCTTTTTTAAGCTGAGCTAAAGTTTTTCTTCCTGTGTCTGGTATGGAGCTGTGTTTTGGCTTTGTGCTGAGCACAGGGTTGGTTTACAGAGGTGATTTTGTTGNCCGAGCAGCCTCCGGAGCGCTCTGTCTCTGCCGAGCTAAGGAGCTTTGCTCCAAAACCATTGTTCAGAAAGTTAATGGGCGATACTAATTTCTGAAAGCAAAATGATGCTTAAATTAGTTCACGTACAAGTTGAATTGCGCGATTTAGTGATGCTATAGCTATGGGGAGGAATTAAGCATTTGTCGTGACATACACAGCAACCATTTCGCTGTGATTTGGATAAGGTTTGGCCTTTTGCTGGCGAGTAGGAGTCCTGTGCAGAGCTGTATGTTACGTCCTTCCAGCTCACTGTCCACAGGGTAGTTTCAAATGCAGGCATGATGCATTGTGGATCTCTGCTGACTGCCCATTCAGTCACTTGTCTTTGATTTAGCCTGTACTAGAACCGAGAGCGGTCATCAAAGTGCATACCTGAGGTTTTCTATAATTAATAAATACAATTGTTGTTTTAATCTTGTCTCATTTTTTGGAGCGTTTGGAATAACTTTTGCATAGCAATGTGACTGAAAATTGTTTAAATTCAGAAGCTGCGTATATAAAGAATAATATTGTTCACGTTCCCACACTTAAGTGTTGGTTTCTACAGAAGGAAGCATCCAGTTTTTTTATGACTACACACATAGACATATCACACATTGGCTAAATGAACACAACCGTATTTTAGCAATACATTTGTTATTTTATTTCTGTGTTTTGGACAGACTCCAGGCTATGCTGATTGATAAGAATACACCCTCCTCAGTAATCAGAATCTACACTAGAAAAGTCTTAAGTAATGTTTTTCTGAACTTTATTCTTTATTTCTTTAAAATAAGCATGAACTTCTCTAAAGTTGCATTTGGCTTCTCTAGTGGAAAATGTGGGCCTGACTGAACCATCCTTGTCCCTCAAATGAATGTTACATATAATGCTGGTTATGCAGATTCTCAGAGTTGGAGTTTAAACCTGTACACAAACCACAGCTAGGTCTGTGAAACAGATCCTGTGCATTTCCTGATGGCTTTGCTTCAACAAATATTCCTTGTCAGTTACATTTCATCACATTTCCTGTTCATATTTCCATTGGCTTAGCAGATCTCCTCAAGATTTGTTTTATTGTTCTTTTTATTTTTCCTGACATCTGCTGTGTTTCTGGTCAGGAAACCCAGTACTCCCGAGACTTATGTTTCACTTCCCAAAGAATTTTTGTACCGTTCTTCTACGACTTCGTACTGGTTCCTTGCTGCAACAAGCTCAAAGAGCAGTGCTAATCACAATACCTGCTCCAGGTATATGCAGACATCACGTGTAGTTTTTTCTTTCCTGCAATATTCTTATTTAAATCTTTTGTATATGAGATTCTGGGTATGTGTGCATGTGGTTATTGCACAGATAATGATCTGAACACAAGCGATTTTTCATACAGCCTTTAAAATGGCTTTTTTTGCTTCCAGGGCTCTGTTTCTTTGAGTAAAGACAAACCACATACCTGTTCCATTTCTTCCCAGGTGACATGTCCATTCAAGGGAAGGCTTTGACAGTCTCATGCATGGGGCCATCTCATCTATGTTAATTAGACCACTTTCATAAGCATGGCATCTCATGGGTGAGTACATACACATCTGTCCCAAACGTAAGCCACATTTATTACAGTCAGAACTGTCTTCTTCAACAAGATGTGTTTCAGCTGTGCTTTTTACTGAAAAATACAATTATCTGCTATTGTATCACTTGGTATAGACTAAAGGATTTTTCTCCAATAATTTGAAAGTGATTAAAACTGTAAGAATAAATTTTCATAGTATTGCTGTCATTAGTCTTTGTTTAGAAATACTAACTACCTTCTTTGGACAAAAAAATATGACCACCAGCTTTCAGGGCAAGTGACTCAATATGCTCAAGTCTGTGGAAGACAAGGAGACTTCCATCACAATGGGGTTGGAGTAAGTGATAAAGGAACCAAATCACAAGTATGACATAGAAAGCTCCTTATCATTATTTCTTTGTTCTCATTGCAAGACTTTACATTGTAAAAAAATAAGTCAATAACATTATTTTATCTCAATTTCACATGATGTTCAAATGTTTTTGAATAGTACTGAGATTTTGTGTTCATCTGAAGGATTTATTTTACTCAGAATCCCCAAGGAAAACCCTCCCCCTTCTCAGTTAGCACATGCTTCAGGATATGACCCATGTGTAGACTGTGATGCCAATCAGCTCTAGAGCAGCTGGAATTTTTAAAATGTTTACAAGAGAAAAAGGCAAATGTGTTTAGATTTATCAGGCAATCGTGAGATGACACAAAAAGTTTCAAAGATCTCTATTTAAACCTTCTACTTTGCTGCCCTGAGTTCCAGACTATGGCTGTAGTGAGGAGAGATAGAATGAGGGAAACCACTAACCTATGTTTGGCTAATCTTGTGTTTCACCTGAAAACAGAGATCAATTACATAAAAAATACCAGTCAAAAATCCCAAGTAGTAATATTTGATCACATTTAATTACCATGTACTATATATGAAGATGATTGTGTGAAAAAGGTCACCACATATAGATGTGCGAAGCTGGCGGCCAGGGATATTTGACCAGTATATACTGGCTCAAGGTCCTGGCACAGGAAAACAGTTCATCTGATCCAGATGTTTATTTTTCCTCAAAATGTATTCGTGAGCAGTGTTTTGAGTTGTTTTACAAACTGCTTAGCAAGACAGCAGAGGAGAACCAAGGTTATTTCATGTTGCGCACTATTCTTCTGCAGTGGTTCATCTTCATCTCCCCCAACGCCTGCTCCAGCTGCTGGATAAGGTGAAGAAGGGTAGCAGGGTCAGTTTGCAACACCTGGGCAGTCTGATCTTCATTTTGATTAAGATGTAGCTTCATAGTCACAGCAGGCTTGATCTGTTGTCTCAAACTTCTGCTTGCAAGCTGCAGGAAAGGTTCAGTGGAACAGGAACACAAAAATGACCATTGGTTATCAAAGTTTGTTCTTAACAGTTCTCAAGAGCTTTGTAGAACCTGTTCATACTAATGTTCAGAAACCCTTTGCATCCACATTAAAGATACACACTAGCTACTGTTGTGTTTTATAATTAGTACTAACCCACTTTAATCAATGCTTTCACAATATTTCTGAAAATAAGGTAATAATCTAGACCACATATGTTTAGTATATGTTAATATTTTAAAAACATCAATAGAACCATGAATTCAATTTTCATCAGGCAACAAGTGCTTTGCATCATTGCATATCCTGTTCATTTCACAGCTGGCCATCTGTGGGACACTAACAAAGTCATGCCACTTTTAAATACATGAAGTACTGCTGCCTCAATCTTTTTTACATTGTTTAGTAGGTTTTAATTATGCAAAAAAAATGTGAGGGAAAGGATGGAATACTAAAAACATCAGAGCAGTCACCTGTACATCCAGTCTCCACTCCAGACTGTGGTAGCTGGGAAGCCTTGGTGCCAGCTCTCCAAGAATGCTCCTGATCTCTTTCCTGTTGTCAAGGTACAGCTGGAGCAAGGATTTGTTCAATTCATCTGAGAATCCCAAAACATTAATGGAATCTTGGAAGTCAACCTCAGAAATCTAGAAAGAGCAATTTAGGCCAGGTAATCACCATTATTTCCTGAGAACCAAATAAAATTGTAACTAAACATCACTTATTCTATGGTTATTTATTTATTTTCACTTATGCAGTTATTTATTTATTTTCCTGCAGGTGTGTCCAAGTACAATTCTACACCTTGGACAAAACAAATATCCAGGTTTTAAAGGATCTGCAGATGTTGATGTATTACTGCAGATTTGTATGAGATTCAGAAGCAGTTTTTTTTTTAAGAACATTCAACCCCATCACATGTAAGCCTTCACATCAAAGACCAAAACAGCGTGACAGAGCACCTCAGTTGTGTCACAAGGCACGACATGCTGTGTGAATCCATTTGTCAGGGTGCTGCTGTGCCACTGATAACCAGAGTACAAATACCCAGCAGTGATCTGCACATGCGAAGCACACAGCACAATGCTCAGGCTCCTGGCCCAAGGGCAGGAGAAGCTTCACAGGCCTTTGTCCTTACTGCAGCAGCCTGGCCCAGCGCTGGGGAAGCTGTTAGTGAGTGCACAGAACATGCCATTGTACCTCTGCAATGCACCACCCTGCAATAACAGTCTGTAACCAACCACATCCTAGCCCAGCACACTGTAACCTGTCACTCAAGACCCCTTGTTTCAAGGAAAGGCTCTGCACCATTTCCATTCCCTCCTCACCTGCTCTTGGGAGCAACACTTGCCTGAGTTTCATCAGGCATTCCTTGTCTGTGCACTCCTTCTCCATGTAGTCATTGCTCAAATACTCTACTATATCAATAGTTACTAGTCTTTCTGATGGAAACAGTAATTGTCCAACTACTAATCATTTAGTATCTGCTTATACCCAGTCAAGATTTTGGTGCCAAGAGCTGAAAAAGCTTTCAAACCCACCACACTGGACAAAGACAAGGAATGCTGAACAGGGGGCTAGTCTAGCCCACATCCTGTGCAGTAGCTGAACAACAAACTCTTCATCTGAGTTTTATTATTTAGAGTTTATCCTGAAGTAAGCTTCTCTATATGCAATAAATATGCAATAAATTACACTATTAAAACGTTGTTAAATTTTAGCGTCAGACACTGAATACAAATTCCAGAGTCATACATGTAGACACAATGTTTCAATAAGACAACAGCATGAGACACCTTTTTCTGAAATTAAAATAATACACATCATAAATTTTGAGTGTTTTTTCCCCATTCACCAGTATCTTTAGAGGACTAAGTGTCCAGAAGACATCTCTAGAGTATCCCCAAATTCCTCATGAAAAAGTATACTTGCCATAAGCTTGGAACTCTCAGTAAGAAGATACATTAGTCCTTCTACCCCGTGCTGAATGATGTCAACGCTAATGTTCAGCTTTCCTTTAAAGAAAGCACAAAGTGCTTTTACTTGCTAACTGTCACAGCAGTGAAACTCAAAGCTGCAAAGTTATCAAATGCTTAGTGTGCAAAATATGCTTAGAAAAGAAGAGGGTGTCAGGCCCTTCAAATAATAATGTACAGCATATTAGCACAAAAAAACTAAGAAAAACACAAAGCAATTTCTTATGGCATAGTACAGAGAACGGTTTGTGTCGGAAAAGGGGTGTCCGTAGCCCTCCCCACCCCGGGCACG